GGAGGTGGTGGAGGTGATGGTGATGGTGGTAGAGGTGATGGTGGTGATGGTTGGTGGTGGAGGTGATGGTGGTGGTGATGGTTGGTGATGGTGGTGATGGTGGTGGTGGAGGTGATGGTGGTGGTGGAGGTGATGGTGATGGTGGTGGTGGAGGTGGTGGAGGTGATGGTGGTGGTGGTAGAGGTGATGGTGGTGATGGTGGTGGTGGAGGTGGTGGTGATGGTGGTAGAGGTGGTGGAGGTGATGGTGGAGGTGGTGGTGATGGAGGTGGTGTGTGTGTGTGCCTGTGTCTGTGTAAGGCCTCCGGTCCCAGGGACGTGCCAGGGCAGCAGCATTCCTCAGGGCTGTAAGCTGCTCCGGGCGATCCGCTTCTGTTCCGGGGCTTCCCCGGGGTTCCAGAACATCGGACCAGACACTCGGACCGCCTGGATTCTACAGCCCCTTGCGCAGGTGAGGACAGACCGTGGTCGGGGTGGCACTGGGCTTTGGGCTGCAGACCCCTGCTTGCCGCGCTGTGGGGTGCACGGCTCTGCCTGCCCCAGGGTCCCCCTCCTGCTCCCTTCCCCTGCCAAACCTGTCTCCTGCCAGCCTCTGTGAGCCACCACCCTGTCCTGGCCTTTCTGGGGCTAGTAGTGAGAGTGCTGGCCGAAGGCCAAGGCCACCTGGGACTTGGGGGAGCCCCGGCCTCACCCGGAGGACACCCCCGCGAACCTGGCAGGCTGCCCGCGTCCCTGCAGTTGGACGCGGGGCTGCCCCTTGTTCTGGCCCGGCGCCCCCCTGCCTGCCCTCCTACAGCTCCAGCAGGGGGCGGGCGGGGAAAGAGAAGGCCGGCAAGTTGAACTGGGGCCATCTGGTGTCCAGGAGCAACTTGGACGGGGCTGCGGGGGCGGGGGCGGGGGCCAGGGCCCAGCACGGCCAGGGACTCCGGCTTTCCGGGGCCTCCTGCTCCCGACCTCCCTGACTCCCCGGGAAAGGGCGGGCTTGGTCCCTCCGCATTGCTGTAGGAGGGCCCGCGGTGGGTGGGCACAGCCTGCGTCCACTCTGGGGAGAGAGGTGGCTCTGGGGCTTCCGCTCTGGTGCATCCTGCTGCTTGCGGCTGTCATGGCGTCCGGCGGGTCAGTCTGTGGGGCACCGTGGGGATCCAGCTCCAGCCAGCGCAGCCCAGACCGGAGGCCCGCGCTTCGCCTGCCCAGCGCCAGGGTGTCTGATGGGCCAGGACTCCCGGCGGCGTGGGGCTTCCTCTGAGCCTCCGGGTTCCCCCTGCCCTTCTCCCTTCCCAGCACCTTTTATTTCTCCAGCTCGTGGCCTGACCTCAGGCTGCCCCGCCCCACCCCTCGGCTCTCCCCTTGTCTCCCCGCACCCCTGCGCCTCCCCCCTTGCGTGTTGTGGCCAGCACTGGGAGGACCCCAATAAACCTCTGTGAAATGACCGATGAGTGATGTGTGGGCTTTCTGGAAGCTCGTGTCCGGACAATGTCGGGGCTCGCTGTGCTCTGTGGCACCTGCACACCGCGGTCCGGTCCCTCCCACGGTGGCCACGCTTTGCTGAAGGACGAGTTTTCCTTTCAGGCCTCCTCATGCCGCTCCCAAACCCAGGGCCAGGGCTGGCAGGCGGGTTCCTGCAGGGGCCGTGGCTCGGCCTTTCAGACAGCCGCGTCCTGCCCTCTCCACATGACAGGCCCCAGCGGGGCTCCCTCCCAGGAGGGAGCGGGGAGACACGGGCGCTGGGGCGAGGGGCAGCCTGGGAGCCGGCAGGAGAGGTCGAGGCCCAGCCTGCCCGCCCCTGTCTGCACCGCAAGGAGTGGAAGCTTCCCGAGCTCCCCGGCTCCAGCAGGCTCTGGGGTGTTCTGGGCGGAGCTGCTCCCG